GTTGTAAGGAACAAAGCAAGATTAGTGGCTCAAGGTTACACTTAAGTTGAAGGTCTTGACTTTGGAGAAACATATGCCCCGGTTGCAAGATTGGAATATGCTTGTGCCCACAACATCAAGTTGTACCAAATGGATGTGAAGAGCGCATTTCTCAATGGGTACATCAATGAGCTTGTGTATGTTGAGCAACCTCGCGGTTTTGAAGATGAAAAGAAACCCAACCATGTTTACAAGTTGAGAAAGACTTTGTATGGATTGAAACAAGCGCCTAGAGCATGGTATGAGAGATTGAGGGATTTCCTACTCTCTAAGGGATTCAAGATGGGAAAGGTTGACACCACTCTCTTCACCAAGAAGCTTGGAAATGACTTGTTTGTATTGCAAATCTATGTTGATGATATCAAATTTGGGTCAACAAATCAAGATTTTTGTGAGGAGTTTAGCAAGATGATGGCAAGTGAGTTTGAGATGTCCATGATTGGAGAGCTTAGTTACTTCCTTGGTCTTCAAATCAAGCAATTGAAGAATGATACATTTGTGAGTCAAGGCAAGTACATCAAAGACATGCTCAAGAAGTTTGAAATGAATGATGCTAAATCTATTAGTACACCAATGGGGACAAATGGAAGCTTAGATAGTGATGCTAGTGGCAACATGGTGGATCAAAAGATATATTGGTCTATGATTGGAAGCCTACTCTATGTGACCGCATCAAGGCCGGATGTGATGTTTAGTGTATGCATATGTGCAAGATTTCAAGCCTCGCCAAGAGAAAGTTATTTGAAGGCAACAAAGAGAATATTAAGGTACTTGAAGCATACACAAAATGTCGGTTTGTGGTATCCCAAAGGAGCAAAGTTTGAGCTAGTTGGTTACTCCGACTCAGATTATGCGGGATACAAAGTTGAGAGAAAAGAGCACATCTGACACATGTCAACTATTGGGAAGATCACTTGTGTCTTGGCCATCAAAGAAGCAAAATAGTGTAGCACTTTCAACTGCCGAAGCGGAGTACATTTTAACCGGTAGTTGTTGTGCTCAATTACTTTGAATGAAGGCTACTTTGAATGACTTTGGAATCAAGTTCAAGAAAGTGCCATTGCTATGTGACAATGAGAGTGCAATCAAGTTAACCAATAATCCGGTTCAACATGCAAGAACAAAGCACATTGATGTCCGTCATCATTTCATAAGAGATCACCAACAAAAAGGGGACATTTGCATTGAGAGTGTGGGCACCGAAGATCAACTTGCTGATATCTTCACCAAGCCACTTGATGAGAAAATGTTTTGCAAGCTAAGGAATGAGTTGAACATTTTGGATTTCTCAAATATGTGTTGATGCACCCCTCATTATATGACGTGCCTCTCCTTCAAGCAAAACAAGGTAAAAGTTGATTGACATGTCATTCATCTATTGTTAAGGACTTGTTTAGTGCATCTAGTCATTCCGGTCATGTTCTAGGCTCATTCATGAAAATCAAATGAATTTGATGCTTGTATGGTACCACTATTACTTGTATGTTTAAAATGATCTAGTGGTAGCATATGACATATTTTTAGGCTTGTAAACCTAGTGTTTGATCTAGAAAATAAGTTCTAAGTGTTTAACTCAACATGGTACAAGATAACCCTTATTTGAAGGTGTGAAGAAGCTTGTCCTTGTATCAAAACGAGTTAAATATCTTTTGCAAGTGATCTAGATCGAACCAAATTGGGAAAATGATCCTTACTTCACATGGTTTCACCCCAACCTATCTAAAATTTGAGCTCGCCTTTTGTGCTAATTGTTGACAAAGGGGGAGAGAAATTCACAAAGATAGTAAGATAGGGGGAGCAAACAAATGAAATGGCATTGTAAGGGGATCAATAAAAATTACACACAAGTAGGGGAGTAAGCTCATAAACTTGTATGTTGCATTTTGAATGTGCATTTCATATATTTGCTTGCATGGCACAAGTTTTAAATTTCAATATCCATGCTTGTCTGGTGTATGCTAGTTATAGGTTTGAATGATGAAATAAAAAACTAGCATGCATAGGTTACGTAACTAGACTTATGTTCATTTTATGGAAACTAGACCCTTGCTTCTAATGTTGATCTTATGGAGTATTCTAGTTTTTGTGTGTCTAGTTACTAATGGTGCTAAGGATGGTATATTGGTACACTCAGATTGGTATCACGCTTCAAAGGTCCATCTTTTATACCTTAGCATCATTTGGTAGACATTGTCTCCTATATTTTCTATCAAAGCATATGTGCAAGCTACAATCCAAACTCTTAGCACATATGTAGGGGGAGCAATTGCTACCATTTGGGGTTCATAAAACTTGTCCATATCCTTTTACACATGGTAAATATGCTTGGGCAAGCAACATGGATTCAACTAAAATTTAATTCATATCTTTGTATAAGGGTTGTCATCAATTACCAAAAATAAGAGATTGAAAGCTTTAGTATGGTTTTGGTGAATTGATGAAACCCTAAGTGCTAACCTAGTTTATCAATGTGATTATGAGATAGGTGGCACATTCCAAGTGGTGAAACAAATGAAGATCATAACATGATGATGGTGATGCCATGATGTTGATCACATGCTTGGACTTGGAATAGAAGAAAGAAAAACAAAAAGCCCAAGGCAAAGGTGAAATTGATAGGAGCTTTTCGGTTTAGTGATCGAGACACTTAGAGAGTGTGATCACATTTAGGATCGATAGCCATACTATTAAGAGGGGTGAAACTCGTATCGAAATGCGGTTATCAAAGTGCCACTAGATGCTCTAACTCATTTGCATATGCATTTAGGATCTAGTGGAGTGCTAACACATTTGAAAATGATTGTGAAAATATGTTAACACATGTGCACAAGGTGATACACTTGGTGATTGGCATATTTGAGCAAGGGTAAAGAAGATAGAGTTGAAAAGGAGTTAGTCACGCTGGTCACAGAGTGACCGGACGCGTCCGGTGTGGCGACCGGACGCGTCCGATATTAATGACCGGACTCTGGCTCAGTGGAGCGACCGGACACTGAGGAGTTACTGTTCAGTGTCTGGTCAAAGTGATGTATCTCGATACTGTGTTGCAGAGAGCGACCGGACGCGTCCGGTCGCCAGTGTGAACCAGTAAATCTTGGGTTTCAGTGCTAAAATTGATCGGACTCTGGGAGCTGCCGATCCTGTGTGACCGAACGCGTCCGGTCGGCCCAGAGCAGCTTAGGGAGATCTCTGGACTCGACCAGACGCTGAGTCTCCTACGTCCGGTCCGGTCGGCCCAGAGCGGCTCTGGAAGCTCTCTGGACTCGACCGGACGCTGCCCGTCCTACGTCTGGTTGTCCACACCGGACGCGTCCGGTCGCAGATTGAGTTTGGTACTCGTAGCAGCAATGACTACTTCTTTCAAATGGGACACATGGCGGTCAGGCAGCGACCGGATGCATCCGGTATACATGACCGGTGCGTCCGGTGCACACGACCTGCGTGTCCGGTCAACGCGCAGTCAGCCCAATAATTGAGCCAATGGCTCTATTATTTGGGGTGTCTATAAATACCGTTTGGCCGGCTCTAACTCACCCTTTTGGCTATTTGCATTGACATAGCAACCTTGTGAGCTTAGCCAAAGCCCTCACACTCATCTCCATCATTGATTCATCATCTTCGTGAGATTGGGAGAGAATCCAAGTGCATTGCTTGAGTGATTGCATCTAGAGGCACTTGGTATTCGTGTTTCGCTGCGGGATTCACTTGTTTCTCTTGGTGGTTGCTGCCACCTAGACGGCTTGGAGCAGCGAGGATCGTCGAGCGGAGGTTGGTGATTGTCTCCAGCTTCGATCGCGGTGATTGTGAGGGGTCTTGTGCCTTCCCCGGCGGAGCGCCGAAAGATAACTCTAGTGGATTGCTCGTGTCATTGAGTTACCTCACTTGTGGGTAGGTTCTTGCAGTGTTCAATTGTGTGGATGAGATTCGTGCAACACCTCTTAGCCGCCGAACCACCAAGTGTTGGTCGACACAACGGGGACTAGCGTGTCGGCAAGCATGTGAACCTCGGGAGAAAAATTGGTTGTCTCTTGTCCTTTGGTATTCTCCCGGTGATTGAGTTAGTATTTATCTTGTGATTAGTTCACTCCTCAACGCGACGGTATAATCACCTTACTTACTTATTTACATTCCCGCAAACTAGTTGTAGCAAGCTCTTTAGTGTAAGTAGAATTGAGAGCTTGCTTTGTTGCTTAAGTTTATCCAGTGGAGCTCTTTAGTGTAGCAAGTGTGAGAGCTCTTAGTGAGTAGTGACTTAGTAAATTGTGTGTCTAGTGATCATAGTATCTAGAATTGTTGGATAGGTGGCTTACAACCTTTGTAGAGCTAGAGCAAGTTTGTTTTCGCTATTTGTTATACTAATCAAATTGCTCTAATTGGTTTGTAGATTTTTAAATAGGCTATTCACCTCTCTAGTCATATTAAGACCTTTCAGCGTTCGCATATATAACGCTAAATTGACAGTATTAGCTGTTTGGTGTTGAGATTGCATTTATGTTTCTCACTTTGGCAAATACTCCATCCATTTCAAATTATAAGTCGTTTTGATTTTTTTATATATTTATTTTGCTATGTATTTAGATATAATAATATGTCTATATACATAGTAAAATAGATGAATAAAAAAAATGTCCAAACCACTTATAATTCGGAACGGAGGGAGTACATAATTTGGGCCCGCCCTGTTTTGATCCTATAGCTGTTTTCTGTTTAGCTAGATCACCAGCTACAGGAACAAACAAAAGAGACGAGAAACACTGAAGCTGACAAAATAAAAAGAACTCGGAGGCCTGCCTGCCGGCATGTTTGTCTTCTCCCTTGGCGCCAAACGATCAAGAACCAATATTACAACTTTACAAGCAACCTCCACGCATTCTCCGCCAACCACTGTCCAAGCCATCTTCGCATCAGTCCCGGCCAGCTTCGTGTCCTCCGATTGATCCCCATGGACTGCGGCGGCTGCAATGGCCCGGCGGCCCTCCACCGCGTGGGCAGAGGAGGAGGAGGAGGAGCGGCCGCTGACGGTGGTCTTCGCGTCGCCAGCCGAATACTTCACGGACGCGGCGCCGATCGGGAATGGCAGCCTCGGCGGCATGGTGTGGGGCGACGTCGCCACCGACAAGCTCCAGCTCAACCGTAATTTTGCTTGATATGTTTCACCAACAATTAGGCCTTGTTTAGTTCAAAAAAAACTTTTCCAAAAAGTGCTACAGTAGCCATCACATTGAATCTTACGATACGTGCATGGAGCATTAAATATAGACGAAAAAAACTAATTGCACAGTTTGGTTGGAAATTACGAGACGAACGTTTTGAGCGTAATTAGTCCATGATTGAACACTAATCGCTAAATAAAAACGAAAGTGCTACAGTAGCTCAATTTCCAAAATTTAGCCCACTAAACAAGGCCTTACAATTTTGCTTAAACATTTATGTGTTACGTGATCCCTGAAATAAACTAAACGTGCGTTGTGTTGTTGTGACTTGGTGGCTGTTGCCCCATGCAGATGACACCCTGTGGACCGGCGCGCCAGGGAGCTACACCGACCCGGACGCGCCGGCTGCTCTCGCGGCGGTGAGGGAGCTCGTCGACCAACGCCGCGTCGCCGACGCCACTGCGGCAGCCACACGCCTCTTCGGTGGCCAATCGGAGCTCTACCAACCTATGGCCCTATGGGTGATGTAAACCTGGAGTTGGGCGGTTCCGACCAGCAGCAGGCGTACGGCTCCTACAAGAGGGAGCTGGATCTACACACGGCGACAGTGCGCATCACCTACGGCGTCGGGCCGGTGCAGTACACGAGGGAGCACTTCTGCTCGAACCCGCATCAGGTCATCGTCACCAGGATCGCCGCAAGCGAGACAGGGCACGTCTCCTGCAAGCTGTCCCTGAGCAGCCAGCTAAAGAACACCGTCACTGTGACCAACGCTAATGAGGTTGTCATGGAGGGCGTCTGCCCAGGACAGAGGCCTCCCGCTGGCCTTCTGAGGAGTAGCCGCAACTCCAGCAGCTCCAGCGATGACGATGTAACAACAGGAGGCATCAAGTTTGCGGCCGTTCTTGGTGTGCAGATGGGTGGGAGTGAAGCGAAAGCGACAGTCCTGAATGATCAGAAGAAGCTGAGGCTTGATACTGCAGACTGAATCGTGTTGGTCGTTGCTGCTTCATCCTCGTTTGATGGTCCGTTTGTCAGCCCTTCAGACTCTACGCTGGATCCCACATCTGCAGCTGTGGCCACATTGAATCGTGCTAGAAGTCTGACGTACGAACAACTGAAAGCTGCTCATTTGGATGATTACCAGCGCCTCTTTCACCGTGTTACCTTGCGACTCTCACCACCAGGAGGAGGATTGGAGGACGCACACGGCGGTTTGATGAGGACGGGAGGAAAAGAGATGTTGAAAAGAGGAATTGGTGATGATGAAGGAATCATCAGAACTTCTGCAGACAGGGTGAAGAGTTTTGCTACTGATGAGGATCCCTGGGTCTGTTCGCTTGAACTTATCAGCCGGCTTATCAGCTAAAATCTACAGTATTTTTCTCTTACAACAAAACAGCGTTAGCCGGCTTATCAGCCGGCTTTAATACCAGCCGGCTTTAATATCAGCCGGTCTCTCGTTGAACTGCTATTCCAGTATGGACGCTATCTTCTCATTTCGTGCTCTAGGCCTGGGACTCAAGTATCCAATCTGCAAGGAATCTGGAGCCAAGATGTTGCAACAGCATGGGAGTAAGATCATTTTACTTCTTCTTGTTATTACTAATTATTTTTGCATTTTTCCATGACCATTGGACCTCTACTTGGTACACTTTTTTTTTCTTGAACCGGCAAGAGATCGAGCTGCCTATATATTTATGATCCAGTTAATCACACTAATATAAATTGCTTTTCAGTGCAGCTCCTCATCTTAACATAAATCTACAGATGAATTACTGGCCAACGCTGCCTTGCAACCTTAGTGAATGCCAGGAACCATTATTCGACTTCCTTCAATCTCTTGCAGTAAATGGTAGCAAAACAGCGAAGGTAAGTTTTACAGTCCTCTGATCGGTTTTAGCAGAACTTCAAGATCATTATGGATTAGGTTAATTGATATATATAGAAGTTACATTCATATTGTTGAAATTTCCAGCCTCTTGATACTGAATTTGACCACCCACCTACATTTTTATCCATTAATTACCTCATTGCATATGCATATATCATTGGTTCATACACAATCTCTATAATTATTAGCTCTTGAGAATCCAGAAACCACAGGGTTATTGTAGTCCAAAAACTATGCAATGATTAGTTATTTGTTATTCTAGTGATAATGATAATTGACAAAATCTGACAAAGAATAGAAAAATACATACATTATAATTCATATCTTTGATAAGATACTCACTGTGATTGTTAAGTTAGTGAAGGTGGGGACAGCACAAAGTGTGACTTCACTAATAGTAGAGATTGGATTTTATTCTTCCATGTAATTGGAATATGAAGCACAGTAAACATTTAAAACAGAATTAAGTTGCACCTGATTCATTTTGCGACTTATTGAGAAAACTATGTAAACTGTGACAGGTCAACTACCAAGCACGCGGATGGGTAACGCATCATGTGTCAGATGTATGGGCGAAGTCTTCAGCCTTTATTAAGAAACCTAAGCATGCTGTGTGGCCAATGGGAGGTGCTTGGCTTTGCACACATCTATGGGAGCATTATCAGTTTTCTCTTGACAAAGTAAGAACCAGTACGTATGTATACAGTCCACTGTTGTCCTTTCATTGGATTTGGCAAGTAACCCTTCTTAATAGAAATACAAATTTTCCACATGTGCCCATGATCTAGTCAACAAGAAAAACACGTCTGAATAAATTGTTTCCACAAATTTCAATAAAAAATAAATACATGTCAAGATTTGTAGAAAACTTATTTGATAGTTCATTGCTTTCAAAAATTTTAGGACTTTTTGGAGTACACTGCATATCCATTGCTGGAAGGCTGTGCCACTTTTCTGGTTGACTGTCTGATTGAAGGACCTGGAGGCTACCTACAAACAAATCCCTCAACGTCTCCGGAGCATGCTTTCACAGCTCCCGACGGTAAGCCAGCGAGCGTGAGCTATTCAACCACAATGGACATCTCAATTATAAGGGAAGTTTTTTCAGCTGTCCTTCTGTCTGCAGAGGTAATATAATTAATTGTGCGATAGTTACATCTGGTTACATATAATTATTTCTGAGAAGTTGAATGGCATAACTGTGTGATATTTTTGAGAACATGCATTGCACACATTTCATTAAGAGAGGTATATTTGTGATGGATATTGGATTATAGAATGATGATATGTTTTTCCATACTATAGATCTTGGAGAAGTCTGATACTGATTTGGTTGAGAAGATTAAGAAAGTTCTCCCAAGGCTCCCTCCCATTCACATTGCAAGAGACAATACTATCATGGAATGGGTATGTCCACTGAATCGCAAGTTTGTATTTTCAAATTCTATATATTTTCCGTGAACTCTCCAATGATTTTCTGAATATGTCTGTCTATGCAGGCACTAGATTTCCAGGACCCAGAAGTCCATCATAGGCACTTGTCGCATCTATTTGGACTTTACCCTGGACATACTATAACCATGGACAATAATCCTGATGTTTGTGGAGCTGTTTCTAATAGCCTTTATAAAAGAGGTTTGCACAACTTCACAAAACTAACTGCATGCATTTGACATCCCAGGAATATCTTTGTACCATTGTATTCAGTATGTAACCATGCATTGAGGGGAGCAATGGTGATTGACTGCTTGGCACCTAGCACTATGGTTAGTTGGCAGATGCAGAGCAATCAACCAAGCCTTAAGCCCTTAACCTTGACGCACTATGTAATTTATTTATAACAAGCAACGTTACAAAACTGCATCCCTACTACAATTCTTATAATAGAATTCGCTGAAAATGGAAAAACCATCCATTTGCTTTTTAGGCGAAGATGGCCCAGGATGGTCAACAACATGGAAGATGGCCCTCTGGGCACGTCTTATGAACAGCGAGAATGCATACAGAATGGTCCTGAAGTAAATGAATTTGGTTCCCCCTGATGGAAAGAACGCCTTTGAAGGAGGACTGTACAACAATCTATGGACAGCGCATCCACCATTCCAGATTGACGCAAATTTTGGGTAACAGAACAGACACATCTCCAGTCCAGCCTCTCTGAATTTTTAGATGATAGAGTTTACATATATGCGAAGGGCAGGCCCGGTGCAAATGGTAGAGTCTTACCGCCTGTGACCGGAAGGTTCCGGGTTTGAGTCGCGGTCTCCTCGTATTGCACAGGCGAGGGTAAGGCTCGCCACTAACACATTTTCCAGACCCCGCACAGAGCGGGAGCTCTCTGCATTGGGTACGCCCTTTTTTTTAGAGTTTACATATATGAACATGTTCTTATTCTTACTGCAGGTTCACAGCTGCCATCTCCGAGATGCTGGTTCAGAGCACACAGAATGATCTCTACCTGCTCCCTGCCCTGCCTCGCGATAAGTGGCCCAGAGGCTGTGCCAAAGGGCTGAGGGCTCGAGGAGATGTGACTGTAAACATATGCTGGGACGAAGGGGAGCTTCAAGAAGCAATGTTATGGTCGAAAAACCAGAATTCAGTTACAAAGCTGCACTACGGTGGGTGCGTTACCTCTGTTAGAGTTTGCCGCGGTACTGTGTACAAGTTCAACAGGGGATTGCAGTGCTTGGAGGCGTGGCCCGCTTGGCAAATAACTTTCACAATTTACAGACAGTCAGTACAAACAGAGTTGATAGCTAATACATACATGTGCTTTCTCTACCTCATCAAATTAAGAGAGTGACCCTTCTTCCTCATGTCATGGCCAACATAACTGAAAGGCAAATTTATTTACAAGGCTTCTCCTTATTTTGACATATACAACAGGAATTAATGATTTTGTTGAATACCTTCTCACTTGAACACCAGTACAGCGTCCAGCGGCTCACCAACTATACAAAGCAACAGGAATTAATGTTTCAGCACGGTGCTGCATGTACCAAAAGTGAAAGACAATGCACCAAACTCCTCCCAAGCAATCTGCTTATATTAGCATCATGTCGGCCACAAGTGCCAGATTCATCCAGCAGCTTCACATCTTGGAGGCTGAGCTGCATCAGTTTGCAACATTGCTTCAACTTTCTCATCTCATCCATCCTCTCTTTATCCTTGCCATATAATACTTCATCTGCAGCGTCGAACCATGCCCCTAGAATAACCCGATTACTTCCTGTCCCTAAAACAAGATGTTGTTAAGTAATCTGCTGCTCCCTGTGTGTGAACGCACGGCAGGGGCAGGCGCCAAAAGGGCTCCCTGCTGCTGCGCTGTAGCCGCTGCAGGGGCAGGTGTCGAAAGGCTCCCCTGCCGCACTGTAGCCACAGCAGGGGCAGGCGTGAAAGTCAGCCCTACTGTCACATCTAGTCACTGTAGCAGCATGACAGCCTAACATGTCTGTGTACTAGGATTAGATGTGTAGAGTTGTATATATAGTTTCCCACTGTAACTCAGTAAAGAGAGCGAGTTCAGTTTTGCCATCTACTCTGCAGAGCTCCGGGCAACGCTGGTGCTTGTGTTGTGTGTGTGCGCGCGCTCTGTTCTTCATCCCTTCTTCTACCTCTAGCCATAGTGTGTGGTCGGCAAAGCTGGTGAGTGGTCAGCTCACCCGTGCCGAAGATCCAGGGGCCAACAAGTGGTATCAAAGAAATACAAGTGCCGTCGCCAGACTAACCGCTGGCGATGACGGACGGTTTGGAGATGGGCGACAGCAGCGGCGCTGCTGTGGCTGCCCAGCCACGACAAGAGGCCGTCGTGCGCACAGTGCGGGAGGTCAGCGGCACCAGTTGGCCGACGCTGACTAGCACCAACTATGGCGAGTGGGCGGTGACCGTGAAGGTCAAGCTCAGAACCCGACGGCTCTGGAATGCTGTTGACAAGGGCACCGACAACGAAGAAGACGACATGTCAGCGTTGGAGGCTATCCTCGCTGCTGTGCCAGCGGAGTACAGGGAGCCGTTGGGGGCGAAGAACTCTGCTAAGGAGGCGTGGGAGGCCATTGCAGTGATGCGCGTCGGTTCTGACCGTGCAAAGAAGGCGACAGTCTAGCTGCTGAAGCAGGAGTACGCCAACATCAAGTTCAAGGATGGTGAATTGGTGGAGGACTTCTCCTTCCGCCTGCAGACGCTCATCAGCAAGCTGAGGAGCCACGGCGTCACCATCGACGAAGAAGAGGCGGTCTCCAAGTACCTCCACTCTGTGCCGATGAAATACATCTAGATCGCTCTTTCCATAGAGACGATGCTGGACTTGTCCACCCTCACCATTGAGGATGTGACAGACCATCTGCGGGCAGTGGATGAGCGCATGGAGCAGGCCACAGTAATGACGGACATCAGCAAGCTGTTGCTGACAGAGTAGGAGTGGGCTGCCTGGAGGAAGAAGTCCGGAGAAGCCTCCTCCAGCCACGGTGGCGATGGCAAGCGCCGCGGCAAGGCTTCTTCGGAGAAGAAGAAAAAGGTCGACCCCAACGTCTACCGGCGCTGCGGGAAGATGGGCCATTGGGCAAAGGAGTGCCCAAATTGCAAGCAGGAGAAGAAGGCTGAGGCTCATTTAGCGCAGGCTTATGAGGATGATGAGGCCACTCTCCTTATGGCGATGTTCTGTGCACTACACGACATTGAGGCCAAGGAGAAGGGAGAGGGGATGGCGTTGGAAGGGCCTATCAAAGCTCTAAAGGATGTCACCTTGTTGAACCGCGCGCCCAAGTCCACCTCAGATGTCTGGGTGGCGGACAGGAGCAATGGTGGTACCTGGACTCCGGCGCCAGTAGCCACATGACGGGCTCCAAGGAAGCCTTCTCTGAGCTCGATGGCAACATGACCAGCACGGTGAAGTTCGGTGATGGCTCAAGGGTGGCGATCCGAGGGCGCGGCACCATCATCTTCAAGTGCCAGAACGGTGAGCACCACGCGCTAATGGATGTATATTACATCCCGCAGCTGCGTTCAAGCATCATCAACATTGGCCAGCTGGATGAGCGTGGCAGCGAGGTACTGATCAAGGACGGCGTCCTCAGGATCAGGGACCAGAAGTAGTGGCTTCTTGCCAAGGTGAAGAGGTCCCGGAATCAGCTATACCTGCTCGACCTTAAGGTGGAGCAGCCCATCTGCTTGGCTACATGGTGCACGGAGGAGCCATGGCTGTGGCATGGCTGGTATGGACATCTCAGCTTTGACTCTCTTGGTCGGCTGGAGAAGATGGTGACTAGGCTGCCTCACATCGAGCACGCAGGTGAGCTTTGTGATAGCTGCCTGGCTGGGAAGCAAAGAAGGCTATCGTTCCCAAAGACAGCGAAGTATCGCGCAGTAGAGACCCTTGAGCTGGTCCATGGTGACCTCTGCGGGCCGATCACGCCGGCGATGCCCGGCGGGCACAAGTACTTCATCTTGCTGGTGGATGACTGCAACCGGTACATGTGGCTGTAGCTTTTGACCAGCAAGACCGAGGTGGCGGAAGCGGTCAAGAAGTTCAAGGGGCACGTGGAGGCGAAGAGTGGCAAGAAACTATGCATGCTGAGGACTGATCACGGCGGTGAATTCACTTCAGTGGAGTTCGATGCGTACTGCGTGGATCAGGGTGTGGTGCGACACCACACCGTGCCGTACTTGCCACAGTAGAATGGCATGGTGGAGCGGTGGAACTAGACGGTGGTCGGCATGGCTCAATCCATGATGAAGGCCAAGGGCATGCCAGCAAGGTTCTGGGGTGAGGCAATGACCACGGCGGTGTTCATCCTCAACCGCGCGCCCACCAAGGCCCTGAAGGGCAAAACACCGTTCAAAGCTTGGTATGGGCACAAGCCGAGCGTGTCGTTCTTCCGGACATTCGGCTGCATCGGCCATGTCAGGAAGACGAAGCTGGTCCTCACCAAGCTGGAGGACAGGAGCACACCAATGGTGCTCTTCGGCTACGAGGAAGGTACCAAGGCGTATCGGTTCTATGACCCACGTGGAGGTAAGGTGGTTGTCTCACGTGATGTCGTGTTCAATGAGAAGGCAGCCTGGGATTGGGATAGTCCGGGCACGGGAGAAGCTAGCGGCTTCACCAGCACCTTCATCGTCGAGCACTTGGTCATCCACGGTGGTGGAGACACCGGAGAGGAGGTGTTGACCAGTCCAACAATAGAGCCGAGCACTCCTGAGGCGGTGCTGAGCACTCCAGGAGTGGTGTCGAGCGGTCCTACAGTGGTGCTGATCACTCTAGGACGGGTGCCGAACGCTCCCATAGCGAAGCCGAGAGGTTTTGCAGTGGTGCCGACCACTCCAAGACTGGTGCCGAGCACTTCTGTAGTGGTGCCAACCACTCCAGGAGTGGTGATGAGCAGTCCAGGAGTAGTGTCGAGCACTATAGCCGGGATGCCGAGCACTCCAAGTGCAATGCTGACCACTCTGGCAGAACAGGGAACTCCATCGACGTCGATCGAGTTTGCCTCACCTCCAAGCGACATCACTGAGTTCGTGGATGCCTTCCATGATGGTGAGGAGGTGCGGTTCCATAGGCTGGATGACATCATCGATGGCACAGGGCCCTCAGGCCTGGCGGGTCGGCTGCTCAATGACCTAGAGTTGCTTCTCGTTAGTGCAGAGGAACCACCCACATTCGCGTTGGCCAAGCACGATGCAAATTGGCGATGGTCGATGCTGGAGGAGATGAAGGCGATCGAGGAAACCGAGACTTGGGAGCTCATTGATCCACCTCCAGGATGTCGTCTGATCGGCCAGAAGTGGGTGTACAAGGTCAAGTGGGATGAGCGCGGTGCCATTGTCAAGCACAAGGCGTGCCTCATCGCCCGAGGCTTTGTCCAGCACGAGGGCATTGACTTCAAGGAAGTCTTTGCTCCAGTAGCACGCATGGAGTCTGTCCAACTGCTTCTGGCTTTGGCAGCAGCGAAGGACTGGCGCGTCCATCATCTAGACGTAAAATTGGCCTTCCTCAACGGTGAGCTAGCAGAGACGGTCTTCGTCAGGCAACCTCTGGGTTTCACCATCAAGGGAGCAGAGCACAAGGTGCTCCGACTACGCAAGGCGCTCTATGGGCTGCAGTAGGCCCCACGAGCGTGGAACACCAAGCTTGATGCCACGTTGGGCGAGCTTGGGTTCATGCGGTTCGCAATCGAGGACGCGCTCTACACGCAGCGATGGGGAAGGAGGAGCTCGTCGTCGATGTGTATGTGGATGACTTGATCACCACCGGCATGCTTACGGAGGACATCGACAGCTTCAAGTGTGAGATGGTGGCTCATTTTTGATTGAGCAATCTCGATGCGCTCTCCTACTACCTTGGCATCGAGGTGAGATAGGGGAAGGAGGCGCTCATGCTTGGTCAGAGCGTGTACGCCTCGAAGCTATTGGAGCGGAGCGGCATGGCTGAGTGCAAGCCATATGTGACTCTAATGGAGGAGCGCTGAAGCTGACAAAGGCCAGTACCACGGTAAAGGTAGATGCAACACTCTACCGGAGCATCGTTGGCGGTCTGTGCTACCTAGTCCACACGAGGCCGGACATTGCGTTCGTCGTGGGCTATGTCAGCCGCTTCATGGAGGATCCCCGAGAGGATCACTGGGCTGCAGTGAAGTGGCTGCTGTGCTACGTCAAGGGGATGGTGGATCATGGGATCGTCTTCCCCAAGACCGATGAAATAGTTCACTGTGTTCAATGATGCAGACATGGCAGGGGACATCGACGGACGGCGGAGCACCTCTGGCGTGCTCGTCTTCCTCGGGTCGGCTCTAATCTTATGGCTATCGT